TTTTGTTCTCTCGTCTTACAAGTTTGCTTAATGTTTTACTTACTCTTACTCATTTACTTCATTTTAATGTCTTACTTACTCTTACTCATTCATTTACTTCGTTTTAATGTCTTACTTACTCTTACTCATTCATTTACTTCATTTTAATGTGTTTCTTACTTCATTCACTTATTCATTCACTTGTCTTTTCGGACTTTTATAGCGTTTCTGATGCAAGTCTTTATAACCAGCCCACCGCGCGGTGGGTCTACAATCGATGCATGTACATATAAACTACAATACAAGAAAAATCCTATCTTACAGACTTTACAACTGGATATAGCGAATACGCGAGGCTACTGCGCGCAGTTGTTATGTCTGTTTGGCCCTTTGACCCGACGACGACGAAGCACCTTCTCTTCCCTTATTACCCGACGAACGTCCTCGCGTAGACGTTGTGGGATTGGAAGACCTTGGGTTGGAGTCAGACTGACCGCGTGCTTTCGACTTAATTTTGAGGCCACCGTTAAGAAGAGAACGCTGCGCGTCCTGTTCAAACCAGCAACCAAGTTTCGAATGGCCATCTGAATGGCACACGGTGCAGTGCTCCAACTTTTGCAGGTTAAAGGAATGTAACTTCCTTGTAACCGGGTCTATCCCGAGGGGGAAGGAGGCGGCGGTGAAGGAGCGAGCACGGATTATCGCCGCCATCGCAACCTTCTCCTCTTTCGTCGCAAAGGTCGCGAGAAGCAACCCTTTCCTGCTCGTCGCCGAGACGGGGTCGAAGGCCGGATAATCAAAGATGACTACTTTAGAAGGTTTAATGACCACCTGAGCAGTCTGTACACCTTTCTTTATTTTCGCCACCTTGAAACCCTGCTCTAAGACCGCCGCCGCAGCCACGTCTCGTTGCTCCTTCGTTATGTGGTCCACCATAAATCCTCGCGTTCCAGGTACGTTGACGCGTCTCTTCTGGATCAGAAGAAGCGTATGTGCGGCAGGATGAAAGAGGCGCGGTTCCGCGAGGAGGATGTTGTCGTCTTCGATGCTGGTGAGGAGGCCCTTCCAGGGCACATTGCCGTCGATGTCGATGATGGTGCGACTTGTCCCCAGGACGGAGATAATCGCCGAGTCGATGAGCTCTCGGGCTCTCGGGCTGTCGTCGTGCGTGCCGCTTAGTGCTACTATTATGCGTACTTCTTGCTCTTTGAGACGGGCGAGGATGTTATCGCGTATGGCCTTATCTGTGACCTGATAGAGCCAATCGACGTTGGAGTCGTAGAAGGGCGGAGGAGGCTTGCTTTCCCATCGCCTCTGTTCCACAAGGGTCGTGAGAGCCACCCACTGGTTCACGTTGGTCTCCCTTCGTCGCTCTCGGCCCGAGGGCTGTTGATCGACGTCCATCACGAATTCGACTTCATCGTCGTCGTCATCCATCGCGGCATCTTCTTCGTCCTCGTCGTCGTCGTTCTCGTCGATATCGTAGGAAGCAACATTCTGGCGGACTGGTTCTGGCTGAGAGACGGCAATTGGGCGACTTTTGCCCTTCTCAGCGGCGGTCAGGGGCTGTCGACGGGTGGGTCGAGGCGGTGTCGTGTCGTCTGCATGCATGGAGATATTACTTGCTCGTTCGGAAGGCTTCTTGCGGACAGGGGTGGGAGTGGCCTGCATCAGACCAACCTCCTGCTCCTCGGGTTCGGCTTCGTCATCCTCCTCAACCTCAGCTTCAGCCTGTTCAGCTTCAGCGTCCTCGGCTTCCTCAGAGGACTCGTCGTCCTCAGATTTCTCATTGTCGGTGGACCTCTCCATTTCCGATTCCTCAGGAATGGGGGCCGAGGCGGGTGGTGAGTCAAGGTTGAAACGGTCTACAAAATTTATCTCAGCTCCATGCTTTTGGTTCTGCCAATTAATGCTTTTGCTTACAGTCTTTGATTGTTATTCCTCCTACTACTAGCGGGTTGTTCGAGTTCTTCTTTTTGTGAGGCGGCGACGTAATCGACAGTGTTCTGGCTCGCTTTTCCCCCACTCCGGAGGGTCCAGCAAGACCTGGAGACGTAGGCTCTGTTGCCCCGGAGGGCATAGTCTCCCGTCGTTTCTTCTTGCGAAGTTTTTTCCTTTCAAAAAGACATTTCAGTTCTTATCCCTATGCTTATATATAAGACATTGTGCGTACTCGTTTGTTACGTTGGAAGGCGGCATTTTGTGTGATTCAAGGAAGGGGGCCAGCGGACACACCACGCGGGGGGCCCTTCGGGGAATTTCATGCCAATTCTCCGGTGTCTACTACATGAATACTAATGTATCGGCTTTCCTTCAGAGGCTCCATGACCACTCAAGACCAGCTCTTCCTAAACCATTAACTTTTACATCACAAAGTACCACACTTGTTTCCCTTTCTTAACTTAATTCCCAAGAAATTTCCTTTAATCCATTATGAAAGCTGTCGCAAACAACCATTGTTATCAATAGTTCAGCTTTTCAAAGGTAAAAATACTTTACCATTATCCGGCGAGTGGGGTTTGTCAACTAGAGCTGGTGTACAATCTTTATACAAAGCTAGAACAGAGCAGCCATTAGCAAGCCAGTTCTTTTGCCAAAGAAAGGCTACCCACCGATGTTTGTCTATTTGGAACTCCTGTACTTCAACTAACGTCGAAAGGAGGGCGGATTGGCCTCTCAGACACTTGGCTTTACAGCACTTAACAATGTCCTCAACAAGGCGATCGAGTGTTACCCCGTTCCGCGAATTACAAACATCCAACCGGACAACTTAGCCACGAGAAGATACACAGATACTGGGGAAGCCAATATAAGTTTCTTAACGTGTTACCACCTGCGCCACTGGGAGGCGTGTCCATGCAGGCGTATCTGATCGTTTTCGATCCCCTAACCTTCGTTCTTGATTAATGAAAACATCCTTGGCAAATGCTTTCGCAATAGTTAGTCTTCCGTAAATCCAAGAATTTCACCTCTAGCAACGGAATACTAATGCCCCCAACTATCCCTATTAATCATTACGGCGACTCTAGAAACCAACAAAATAGAACCGCACGTCCTATTTTATTATTCCATGCTAATGTATTCGGGCATAAGCCTGCTTTGAACACTCTAATTTTTTCAAGGTAAAAGTCCTGGTTCCCCGACACACCCAATGAAGGGCATGCCGGCTCACCAAGAGGTAAGACCCAGCCAGACAGTACATACCGTTAGGCAGACCGCCCAGCCAGGCCTGAAGTTCAACTCGAGCTTTTTAACTGCAACAACTTTAATATACGCTATTGGAGCTGGAATTACCGCGGCTGCTGG